ATCATGCAGTCCAACCCCCTGCCAGAGCAGGGCCACCCAGAGCAGGTCCCACAGGAACGTGTCCAGGAGGGTTTGAATGTCTCCAGAGAAGGAGACTCCACCACCTCCCTGGGCAGCCTCTGCCAGGGCTGGCCACGGGGAGTGGCTTGTGCTGGGCTCTCTGTGGGTTCGGAGACACCGCTGGGTTCCTGCACTCCTGGATATAAATTGGAGGTTCTGGAGAGCTGCCGTCGAGGACAAGTCCAGCGACAAGGGGAATTATTTGTATTTCTTTGATGTATTCTGGAAAATTAATAAGCAGCTTTCGGTGGGGTGGCAGGACAGCAGCAGAGCTGCGTTGCCAGCGGGGCCGGGCGTGTGTGCGGGAGCAGGATCCATCCCGCTTGAGGTGCTCAACCACGTTCCATGGAGCTGCAGCCGTGTTCCTGCCCCGCTACCTCCGTGGGGCCGGGCTCTTTGTCCCTGGCTGCCAGCAGCATCTCCCATAGGGTTCAGGTGTCCTGAGGTTTGTCCCCTGCTTTGGCTTTGCCAAAAAAGCCCCATGGTGGCTTTTGGGGCCAGGTTTTACCCCCTGCTGCATGACAAGGCGTGGGAGAAGGGTGATGCCTGGCTCCGGATGCCAGCGCTGGTACCCAGCTCCCAGCACCACAGGAGATGCTGTTCCACCACAGCCCTGCCCCCTGCCATCACTGGCGGCTGCAGTGTGTCCCCGAGGCCACACAGAGACCCCCATCCCACCCCCATCCCCATTGCAAGCCGGAGGGAGGCAGAAAGCATCCCGGCTCCTGGAAATGCCAAAACCAGGTTCCCCTGTGTGCCCATCGCTCTGCCACATCCCCAGGCTGCTGTGTTGAGCAGCTCCAGCACCCTCTATGCTTATTCCTATCCATAAAACGCTTCAGCTCTCCCCTTCTCCAAGCTTTTTAAAGCCAAATAAATCCCCGGCAGGCTCCCCAGCCGGCTTCATCATCCCGGGATGTGGCGGGGCTGGCGCGGGTGCCTGTGCCGGGGCTGTGGTTGGGGGATGCTCTCCGTTAAAGCCACTGAGGTTTCTCACACTGAGGATGTGCTCGAAAGCAGAAGGAGGCCAGATTTTTGTTGTCCCGTGTGAAATCATAGAATTACAGAATCCCAGAATGCTATGGGGTTGGAAGGCACCTCTGGAGATCATGCAGTCCAACCCCCTGCCAGAGCAGGTCCCACAGGAACGTGCAGAGAAGGAGACTCCACCACCTCCCTGGGCAGCCTCTGCCAGGGCTCTGCCACCCTCACAGCAAAGAAGTTCCTCCTCATGTTTAGGTGAAACTTCTCATACTCGAGTTAGTGCCCATTCCCTCTTGTCCTGTCCCTGGGCACCACTGAAAAAAGACCAGCCCCATCCTCCTGACACCCCTGGAGGGAGGCAGAAAGCATCCCAGCTCCTGGAGATGCCAAAACCAGGTTTCCATGTGTGCCCATCGCTCTGCCACATCCCCAGGCTGCTGTGTTGAGCAGCTCCAACACCCTCTTTGCTTATTGCTATCCATAAAACGCTTCAGCTCTCCCCCTCTCCAAGCTTTTTAAAGCCAAATAAATCCCCGGCAGGCTCCCCAGCCAGCTTCATCATCCCGGGATGTGGCGGGGCTGGCGCGGGTGCCTGTGCTGGGGCTGTGGTTGGGGGATGCTCTCCGTTAAAGCCACTGAGGTTTCTCACACTGAGGATGTGCTCGAAAGCAGAAGGAGGCCAGATTTTTGTTGTCCCGTGTGAAATCATAGAATTACAGAATCCCAGAATGCTATGGGGTTGGAAGGCACCTCTGGAGATCATGCAGTCCAACCCCCTGCCAGAGCAGGGCCACCCAGAGCAGGTCCCACAGGAACAGCCTTCTGGGGTGAGAACACCCCTCCCAGTTTTGCATCATCAGCAAACTTGCTGAGGGGACACTCCATCCCCTCATCCAGGTCATTGATGAATATATTGAAGAGGAGTGGACCCAGCACAGACCCTGGGGGACTCCACCTGTTACAGAGCTCCAGCTGGATTCTGTGCCCCTCGTAACAACCCCCTGAGCTCTGTCTTTCAGCCAGTTTTCAATCCCCCTCACTGTCCATTCCTCCAATCCTCTCCTCCAGTTCCGTTCTCTGCTTCTCCAAGCTTTTTAAAGCCAAATAAATCCCCGGCAGGCTCCCCAGCCAGCTTCATCATCCCGGGATGTGGCGGGGCTGGCGCGGGTGCCTGTGCCGGGGCTGTGGTTGGGGGATGCTCTCCGTTAAAGCCACTGAGGTTTCTCACACTGAGGATGTGCTCGAAAGCAGAAGGAGGCCAGATTTTTGTTGTCCCGTGTGAAATCATAGAATTACAGAATCCCAGAATGCTATGGGGTTGGAAGGCACCTCTGGAGATCATGCAGTCCAACCCCCTGCCAGAGCAGGGCCACCCAGAGCAGGTCCCACAGGAACGTGTCCAGGAGGGTTTGAATGTCTCCAGAGAAGGAGACTCCACCACCTCCCTGGGCAGCCTCTGCCAGGGCTCTGCCACCCTCACAGCAAAGAAGTTCCTCCTCATGTTTAGGTGAAACTTCTCATACTTGAGTTAGTGCCCATTTCCTCTTGTCCTGTCCCTGGGCACCACTGAAAAAAGACCAGCCCCATCCTCCTGACACCCACCCTTTAGATATTTGTAAGCATTAATCAGATCCCTGCTAAATCTTCTCTTCTCGAGACTAAAAAGCCCCAAGTCCCTCAGCCTTTCCTCATAAGGGAGATGCTCCAGGCCCCTCATCATCTTTGTGGTCCTCTGCTGTACCCTCTCCAGCAGTTCCCTGTCCTTGAACTGGGGAGCCCAGAACTGGTCCCAGTGCTCCAGATGTGGCCTCCCCAGTGCAGAGCAGAGGGGCAGGATGACCTCCCTCCACCTGCTGCTCACACTCTTCCTGATGCCCCCCAGGATGCCATTGGCCTTCTTGGCCACAAGGGCCCATCGTTGGCTCATGGTCATCCTGTTGTCCACCAGGACTCCCAGGTCTTTCACCTCAGAGCTGCTCTCCAGCTGATCAGACCCCAAGGTGTACAGGTTCAGGGGGTTATTCCTCCCCAGGTGCAGCACCTACACTTGCCTTTGTTGAAGTTCATCAGGTTCCTCTCTACCCAACTCTCCAGCCTGTCCAGGTCTCGCTGGATGGTGGCACAGCCTTCTGGGGTGAGAACACCCCTCCCAGTTTTGCATCATCAGCAAACTTGCTGAGGGGACACTCCATCCCCTCATCCAGGTCATTGATGAATATATTGAAGAGGAGTGGACCCAGCACTGACCCTGGGGGACTCCACCTGTTACAGACCTCCAGCTGGATTCTGTGCCCCTCGTAACAACCCCCTGAGCTCTCAAATGTTGTTTTCTGCTTCCCCAGTTCACACCAGAGCATGGACCGTGTTGGTTTGTGGCTTCCAGGAGGGAGACCTGGGGGTGCAGGACCCTGGGGTGTGCAAACCCCCCCCAGCAGCCCAGCTGGCAGAGGGGGGAACCCACAAAACCCCTCACTTTTGGAGGGGGGACCGTTTTCCCAACGGTGCAGGGACAGGAGGGACTTCTTTTCCCTGTGGCCTTTTTGAAGTTTGGGAATGGTTTCTGGGGTGGGGGGTGAGTGGCAGGGATGCGCGGTGCCTGCACGATCCTGCATCCCTGCCACCTCCTTCTCCTCCGGGATGCTAAATATATCCTGAGCCGGGGCGGGGAAGGTGGGGGCGGCCATTGTGTCTGTACTGGGCGAGATTTTGCTGCTTTTTCTCCCGTTTGTGCTAATTTTGCGGCGGTTCCAGCCCTGTCCAAAAGTGACAGCGAAAGGGATTTGCAGGAGCGGAGGAGAACCTGAGCGGCCCTTGCTCCTGGGCAGCCAGAGCATCACTTGTGTTTCCTATAGAAGATATTATACTGCGTTCATTTAAATCTCTTTTTTAATTAAATTTTTATTTGAATTAAATTTTTTTTATTAAATTAAAATACATAAATACATAGGGGTGGGTGTGTTGTTTTGTTTTTTTTTTTTAATTTTTAAAACCAACTTAAATCAGGCACCGGGACAACTTTCCCATGCAAGCCAGATTTAATGCTGTTAATTTTACACTTTTAAAAAGTCTTTGGCCGTGGTGTGTTTGCGGATGAGCCCGTGACCCAGGCCCTGCCCTGGCTGACACCGAACCTCGCGCTCCTGGTGCTTATCCCTTATTTCCACTTTTGCAATCCTTCCCTCGCTCTCTCGAAGCTGACAGACCAGCTTGGAGAAGAGAAAGCCACTGGGACTCGGGCAACAAAGGTGCTTTTTTTTTAAGAAGGATGAGAGCTCTGAGCTTTCGTTGCTTGTTAATGAACCTTTAGGGGCTAATTAGCTAAATCACGGCTCTGCCCAAGCGCATCTTGACAGAGGTCGTTTTTCAAAGAGCGATGACGCACTAAAGTTGTGAAAAAAAGCCCAAAACCCTAAGAAAAATGAGTAAATGCTGCGGAGTGTGGTGGTTTAACCAAGCCTGAGCAGAGGTGGCGAGGAGCGGCCGCGGGGCCTCGGGGGGCAGGGATGCTGCGGGTCCGCACGGGGCCGAGGAAGGTGTTTGTGTCTCCTCCCGCATCCCCGGCGCCCCTCGCTCCCCAGGACGGAGGCTGACACGAGCTCTGGAGCGGTGGATCCGTCTCCGAGGCGCAGCAGGAAGGGTTATGGCAGAGCCCCGGGCAGCAGCTGCCGCCGCAGATTCCGTCGGCTGCGTCGGAGCCAAGAGGCTCAGTCGAGCGGACGGGTTGTGTCCTTGAAAACTCGCAGCGCCGAGGGGGTGCTGGAGCCCAGGGAGCTGCTTTCGTGCCTAGACACATCACCTCCCTCTGCAGCGCTTGCCCAAATCCGGGAATTTAGCATCCCTGTTTCGCTGGGGATAATGGAAAAATGAAGGGGAGACCAAGGGAGGATCCTAAATTGGTGTGGGATGTGGCACGCTCGCAGTGAGCAGTGAAGATGCTCCATCCTTTGCTTATTTAGGAGATGGCTGGTGGGACCAGAGAGCTCTAAATCACCGCCTGCATCCCGAGGGAACAGCACACTCAGCTGTGCCCAGTACCACGTGTGCCATGAACCCTTTGCCAACGCTTCCTGTTCTTTCTTCTCTTGCAGGGCTGAAAAGACGGAGGTTTTGAGTGAAGATCTCCTGCAGGTGAGGTCCTCTGCAGCTGGTCCAGCGTTCCCAGGGTGTCCCAGTGCCCACCCATGGGTGCTGGATGCGGCAGCAGCTCAGTGCCGGTCGGTCGGTGTCCCGCGGCACTGGGAGGAGGAGGAGGAGGAGGAGGAGGAGGGGGTTGGGAGCGTGGGAAGTGTCATCGTCACCCTCCCAGCCCTTTCCCAGCCCGGTTTTCAGGTCAGCTGGAATCGGATCCAGTCTCGTCTCCGCCAGGAAGGGAACCTGATAGGGGCCAGCTGGATTGCGGGCGCCTGTGTCTCCCCTCTCCGGGGAGGGGACATGTGACAGCTCAGGGGACACTCCCCAGAGCTGGTGGGACGGGTGACTTCAGCAAAACAGAATGAGCCAAAAGCCTCCCGTGGTGCCGTGGCTGTGACTCTGGGGTCACGGTCTCTTGGGGACATCTCCTCTGGGTGGTTTCTGCTCCAGGAGCGGGGCTTCCTGCTCTCCCCGGGGGAGGGAGGTGGCGGAGAAAGTGCCAGCAAAGCAGCAGGAATTCACCAAGCCATCACTGGATTTGTGAGGTTTCCACGTCACGCAAGCTCTAACTCATCCCTGGTGACTGGGGCAGTGACGAGCAGAGCCAGCGCTGAGGGTGCTCCATCACGGCGCGGGCATCCCCTGGCATCAGCCTGGCTGCTGTCGGATCCACTTCAAAAACCTCTTTGGGGGCTAAAATGATGTATTTACACCTTCCAGCTTGGGAATTTGGTCCGTGCCGTTGCTGGCAGGGAGCAGGCTCTGCAGAAACAGCCGGACAAACGGTGTGCGAGGATGCTGGTGGCAGGAGGAGGTGACCTGCGGGTGACAGAGTGACCTTTAGCTCTTGGGGGTCACCGTGTCCTGCCTACCTGTTGCCCTCACTGGGACCTAGTGACACAGCTCAGGCTTTAGCAAGAGCCGTGTGTTAGCCAAAAACGTGAGCAGGGTTTAAGGGAGCCATCCCTTAAAGGGATAAGGCGAAACTGTGCTAGAAGAGGGTGAAGTGAAGCTCTGTTTGCAAATTTTCACTGAATTTCACTGAAATGTCCCAGCGGGGCGCAGGGGACAGCCACCCGCCTGGCTTTATCCCTCCCACGGCCTCTTGCTGCTCGACCAGGGACTCAGCACTCTTCTCCCCCTTCCCCAGGGCAGGGAGTTGATCTTATTTCCCAGATATTTTTGTTTTTCTAGATTATTTCCCCAGATTTTGAGCTTTGGGGAATATTTCTTTTTCTCCAGATTGTTTCCCAAGGTTTTGAGATTCCCGTGTTTTCCCCGAGTCTCGCAGCTGTGGTTCTCAGCAGCTCTTGTTTGCTTACATTCAGTGACTCATCTCGCTGAGTTTTGGGATAAAATTTCTTCGTTTAATCAACACAGAGGCAAATAAGGCGATTTGCAGCCCTGGGTTGGAGCTGTGGCCAGTTTGGTGTGTGGCTGGGGACAGACACCTCCTGCCCTCGCCCTGGGACACGAGGGCTTTGGGGAGCTGCTCTGGCTGTGACCCCCGGCCTTTCTTGAGTCAGGGGGGGCGAGGTGGGACAGATCAGCCTGGTGGTACCTTCTCCTGCTTAAAGCATCCCTGCACAGGGAAGGGGGTGGGCTCTGGGGCTGTCGCATCCGATGCAGCAGTAATTAAAATAGCTTTGATTGAAGAGTAAGAAGTCCCTTAGGTCCCTGGCCGGCGGGCGCGGGAGCAGGCGGGACACCCCGGTGACGGCCACCGCTGCATCCGCAGGTGGAGAAGCGGCTGGAGCTGGTGAAGCAGGTCTCCCACAGCACCCACAAGAAGCTGACAGCATGTCTGCAGGGCCAGCAGGGGGTGGACGCCGACAAGCGCTCGGTGAGGCTGTTTGGGGGGGACGGGGTTTCTGAGGACCACGGTGGGGGGGACGCTGCTGGGGCCGGCGGGGTGGGGAACACCAACCCTCTCTTTGCAGAAGAAGCTGCCGCTGACGACGCTGGCGCAGTGCCTGATGGAGGGGTCGGCTGTGCTGGGGGATGACTCCCTGCTGGGGTAAGGGGGACGGCGGGGACACTGCCGGGAATTGCTGAGGTTCCTGATCTATGATGCTGGATAATGGGGGGGGTCACAGGGGTGTCGGAGGGGCTGGGGTGCTCGTGTGATCTCGGTACTCCAGGGTTTTCCTTTATTCTTCTCCTTGTGATGTCCTGGAGCCCTTTAGTCATGCAGGATACAATGTAAAATATATATATCTTATGAAAGCCCGTACAATTTCACAGAATGCTATGGGGTTGGAAGGCACCTCTGGAGATCATCCAGTCCAACCCCCTGCTAGAGTAGGTCCACCTACAGCAGGTTGCACAGGAACGTGTCCAGGTGGGTTTGAATGTCTCCAGAGAAGGAGACTCCACCACCTCCCTGGGCAGCCTCTGCCAGGGCTCTGCCACCCTCACAGGAAAGAAGTTCCTCCTCAAGTTTAGATGGAACTTCTTATATTCAAGTTTGTGCCCATTTCCTCTTGTCCTGTCCCTGGGCACCACTGAAAAAAGACCGGCCCCATCCTCCCGACACTCACCCTTGAAGTATTTATAGGTGTTGATCAGATCCCCCCTCAGCCTTCTCTTCTCCAGACTAAAAAGACCCAAGTCCCTCAGCCTCTCCTCGTAAAGGAGATGCTCCAGGCCCCTCATCATCTCTGTAGCCTCTGCTATACCCTCTCCAGCTGTTCCCTGTCCTTCTGGAACTGGGGAGCCCAGAACTGGACACAGTAATAAATATATACATCTAGACACAGTATATATAGACAGTAATATATATATATCTCAGACTATAATTGGTACAATAGTTGGGGAATGAGATTTTCCAAACATCCAGGGTGCCCGTGGTCCCTGTGCTCTCACCCTCCCTCCAGCCCTCAGCCAAGGAAGGTCCCACGCTGCTGCCGGGACCCCCAGGTGCAAATATATACATCTAGACACAGTATATATAGACAGTAATATATATATATCTCAGACTATAATTGGTACAATAGTTGGGGAATGAGATTTTCCAAACATCCAGGGTGCCCGTGGTCCCTGTGCTCTCACCCTCCCTCCAGCCCTCAGCCAAGGAAGGTCCCACGCTGCTGCCGGGACCCCCAGGTGCTTTGGGTGCCCATGGCCCACCCTGGTGGGGTGCAGGGTGGCTGCCTGTGCCCCCCCGTGCCCCCCAGCCCTGCTGCTGCCCTTGCAGGAAGATGCTGCGGCTGTGCGGGGAGGCGGAGGACAAGCTGGCGCAGGAGCTCATCCACTTCGAGCTGCAGGTGGAGAGGGACGTCATCGAGCCCCTCTTCGTGCTGGCCGAGGTGAGCGGTGGCCGGGGACATCCTGGGGTCCAGGTGTCCCCCACACCGGGGATTGCACCCCAAACCAGCCTGGGTTCTGCTGCTCCAGGGGTATATTTGGTTCCTGCCCCCTGCCAGGGACCTTCCCCCTTGGAGCTGTTCGCTAATTGCTTTAATTGGCAGGCAGCATTTGCATGTTGAGCTGGGCTGACTGCTGGGGCAGCGGTCCCTGCTGGGCTCCTGCTTTTCCCTGCCTCTCCTGAAGGCAGAGGCATTAACACTCTTATTTCTGACCCATTTTTCCCCATACCATTGTTGTTTGGGATATTTTTTTCCCTTTTATCCCCCTGCCTCCCCACTGCCAACTCTGTTTTTCAATGATGCTTTTTTTTACTCCCCATTTACATCTTGCGAAACGTCCCAGGCTTGGCTCTGATTTTATCTTCCCAGCAGAAACAGCTCCAGCTGTGTCACGCTGCTGGTGTTATTGGGATGGGTGAGCAGGGCTGCACCATGGCTTCATTTTGCCAAATCCCTTGGCAAATGGTGCCTGGGCATGACAGGCTTCGCATCACCATCCCCAAAAGCCCTTCTCCTGCCTTCACCCACCTCCCAGTGCAGGAGGCTGGGATCCCTGGAGGATGCTCCTCTCAGGGTTCTTCCATCGGGGCTGGTGGCACATCCCAGGTGGGGACAGAGAGGAGGGACAAGCTGTGCCTCCTCCCTAAGGATGTTTAAATAAGGAGCCGCATCCTTATGCTCACAGTTTGCACCAGCCCAAACTCCCAGCGTCGCAGTCCTGATGCCTCCCCGGGGATGTTTATCTCCTCCCATCCCTGTGTGTCGCTGCAGGTGGAAATCCCAAATATCCAAAAACAGAGGAAGCACTTGGCGAAGCTCGTGCTGGACATGGACTCCTCCAGGACACGGTAGGAAGCGACTTCAAAGCTTCAACGTCCCGGGCTTGGCTCTGATTTTATCTTCCCAGCAGAAACAGCTCCAGCTGTGTCACGCTGCTGGTGTTATTGGGATGGGTGAGCAGGGCTGCACCATGGCTTCATTTTGCCAAATCCCTTGGCAAATGGTGCCTGGGCATGACAGGCTTCGCATCACCATCCCCAAAAGCCCTTCTCCTGCCTTCACCCACCTCCCAGTGCAGGAGGCTGGGATCCCTGGAGGATGCTCCTCTCAGGGTTCTTCCATCGGGGCTGGTGGCACATCCCAGGTGGGGACAGAGAGGAGGGACAAGCTGTGCCACCTCCCTAAGGATGTTTAAATAAGGAGCCACATCCTTATGCACACAGTTTGCACCAGCCCAAACTCCCGGCGTCGCAGTCCTGATGCCTCCCCGGGGATGTTTATCTCCTCCCATCCCTGTGTGTCGCTGCAGGTGGAAATCCCAAATATCCAAAAACAGAGGAAGCACTTGGCGAAGCTCGTGCTGGACATGGACTCCTCCAGGACACGGTAGGAAGCGGCTTCAAAGCTTCTTTATAGAAAATAAGAATTCCCAAGCAATGGGTAGTTCCAGGGAGGAGACATCCTGGAGCCCTGATACTGCAGTTCCCTCGGGACAATAAGTCTTGTCCATGTCACCAGGTGCCATGAAGTCAAACTCTGCAACAAGCCAAGATTTCTGCAGAAAAGAGTATTTTTTTCTGGCACAAATGTTGATATTTTTCCTTTTTCCCCTGTCTTGTTGAGTTCTTATGTGATGACAAAGAGCCAGGTGCTCCTGCTGCTTTAGAGCAGCGTTGGGGTGGGTGTGGGATGTCCTTTGGGATTGTCCCGTGTCCCAGAGGCTGTAGTGGGACCTGGTGGGCTGTGCCTTGGGTTTTGCCTGGGGCTTTTTGCAAGCATTTAAAAGACAACTGGAGTTGGCCAAACCCTACACAACGTAGTGGTGTTCTCTGGGAAGAGGTCTGGGAGGTGTCTGCAGCCCCCAGCAGCACATCCAGGCTCTCCCATCACCTTCCTCTGTCTTCCCACCTGGATGAAGCTCATTCCTCTGCTGAAAGTAGTTGTTTAATTAGAGCCCGATGTGCACAGCCAGTTACAGGGACTGGGGATATTTGGGGTTGGGAGTGGATGCTGCATCTCAGCATGGGCTGGGGTGATCTCTGCCCTGGGAACCGCAGTGGGTTTGGCCAAGGGGGTTTCCCTAGGCTGCCCTCCAAGTCCTCTGGGATCCATCCCCAGCTCCAGGTGGGTCCCTACCCCGTCCCCGTGCCAGCTCTGCCCCTTTTTCCACAGGTGGCAGCAGTCTGTGAAGTCCTCGGGTTTGGCCAGCAACCTGCAGCCCACGGGGGCCAAAGCGGATGCGCTCAGGGAGGAGATGGAGGAGGCGGCCAACAGAGTGGAGATTTGCAGGGTACCCGGGGGGGGGTCACTCCTTCACGGGGTTGGGGGGACCTTGGCATCCCAGGCACCACAGAAAACCTGCAGCCTCTCCTCTTGCCCTGTTCTTCACCCTCTTCTTGCCCCATTGACCCTCCCCATGCCCAAAGACAGGCTGGTGGCAGTAGGGGATGTTCACCAGCCAAGCAGATGTCCCCAGTTCCACTGTCCCCATCCCCACTGGACCTGTGATAAACCCTCCTCCGGCTGGTCCCCATGCCCAAAGACAGGCTGGTGGCAGTAGGGGATGTTCACCAGCCAAGCAGGACGTCCCCAATTCCACTGTCCCCATCCCCACTGGAGCTGGAGAGCATCCCTTTCCCAGGGACCTGTCCCAGCAGCTGAGCACCAAGTGTGCCCAGCCCTGGCGTGTGGTGAGGCCACAGGTGCCACCCAAGCCATGTCATCCCCCACCGTCCTGTGGGAGCACAACCCACCCACTGGTCACATTGGGTGGGAAAAGTGTCCCAGGGAGGGGACATGCTGGTGCCAGCGCCTTCGTCATGGGCTGTGGGATTCAGCAGTAAAACTCACAGACAATTTCATGTGGCTTTAAATTTCCCCAGGGGCTGAAAACGTACCCCTGGTGCTCCAGGTCTTGGGCAGGAGCTGGAGCTGGGTGTGGGTCTCAAATCCTGGCTCTTTTCTCCAGGGGCACCACCAGCCTTTAAAATCTGGTCCCAAACATGTGCTGCCTGCAGCATCACAGCCCCACGTGCCCAGTAATTCCCAGCAAACCAGCTGGGCCAGGAGCTGCCCCCAGTAGATTCACCATCTTGGTGGAGAACCAAGCAACCAGGAGGTGCTCACGGGGTGTTAAACCCTGATGGTTTTCTTCCAGTTGAGTTATCCAAGTTATCCAAGGAGCAACTGGGGAAGGGGCAAAGTCTATTTGGCGAGTGTGAGGACGGACACACGCGTGTCCCGGTGCCTGGGGGCTCGTTGCAACTGGGAGCAAGAAGCACCCGATGCTTGGTCTGGTCCCCACCGAGCTGTTGGGATGTACCTGCAGCGGCCAAGTGTGGGGCAGGGATGAGCAAATGTGGGGTTTAATTTGGGCTGGGTTTGTGCCGTTCAGCCCGCCGGGATGCACTGCCTTTGGCCGACGGGTTGTTTCCAGGTGACTCTTGCTCCCAGCGAGCTCCTCACGCTCCGAAAGGGCCATCAGGGTGGCATCAGGGCGGCACGAGTGGGACGCCGACTAATTCTCTGCTCCCCGCAGGACCAGCTCTCAGCTGACATGTACAATTTCGTGGCCAAAGAAGTCGACTATGCAAACTATTTCCAAACCGTAAGTGCCCCCCGTCCCCCTGGGACCCCCTGTCCCCCCGTCCCCATCCCTGGCGGTGGTGGGGGTGACAGGGGGTGCTGTCTCTCCCCTCCCACAGCTGATCGAGGTGCAGGCAGAGTTCCATCGCAAATCCCTAGCACTTTTGCAGAATGTCCTGCCTCAAATCAAAGCCCAGCAGGGTAAGGGCCTGGGGGGGGAGGGGGGGGGGGGGTCGGCCCC